GAGAGTTCTGACACACTTGGCCTAGCTCTACACAATTCAGTGTGTTGGTGCCCAGCTGGCAGGAGATGTCAGAATAACTTTAATACAGGTAGTCCCCAACTTGCGACGTATTTGAATTACAACGAACCGCACTTATGACTGTTTTTCTTTTTTGTACATCTTACCCTTAGTAACATGTACTATATATTGCAGTAATATGTACTACATGTTGCTGTGTGCAATCTGCTGATGTTATTATGCTACTATGTTATTATGTTATTGTTATTTGTTATATCATTCTCATGCCAACCCCCAAAGACAAATGAAGGCTGGATTTATAAAGATAATGATAATAAAAGGCAGTAGTAATGAAAGCAAAAAAAAAAAAAAAGAGGTGTTCGACTTACATCAAAACAAATTTACGATGGAGTCATCGAACTAGAACGCTGTTGTAAGTCTAGGACTACCTGTATAGTTTTTTTTGAAAACGTTGTCTTGACAATTTTAAAGTCCTGGGTGGAGGCTGATCACTTCCCTTCTTGAGCAGCTGATTAAGTCCACTCTCTATCCACTCCCCTTTCTGGGTTCTCACACTCTTGGGCCACTATGCACCCGCCCTAATAGTCCTGGGGCCAGGTACCTAACAATTAGGGACAGCCCCTATGCCCTCAGAGCCTGCAGAATTATTTAAAATTCCCAAACCCCAGGAAGCCCATGAAACCTAGCTAAGCCTACCCTGCTTGCCATACATAAGTCCTCTCCTACAATTCCAGCTTGTTGTTACCTTGTCCCCAGATTCAGCCCTCTGTGTGGCCCTGCCTTGTGGCATGCTTTGTTTTCCCCAGGGAACTGTGAATATAATAAACTACTTCTTGCATGAGAGTCACTTCCAAGTCTGTGTGTCTTACCATGCCTGGTAAAAAACAAATCCCAGGTACATTTAAAACATTGACCAATACCTGAGTCCAGAATAGCCTTTCCTCTTAGCAGTGAACACTTGTCAGATAATTTTGCTTTTAAGTGTTTTTATTTTTGTTTTAACATTTTTAATAGATGTGAAAAGGGGATAAAAAGAGTAATTCCTTTCAGTCAGTCAAAGTTAAAAGTCAACAATTTTCCCTAATGCAAAGACAGAAGAGTATTCCCTTTAAATCACCAGGCCTGGCAGAGAGAGCTGAAAAAGGTCATGGGATACATCTGGTTTACCTTTCTTTCCTTTATTTATTTTTTTAAACCTGAAGGAAGTTGGTTGTAATTTTTCATACTGTTGAAGAGTGAAAGGACGGGCAGCAAACAGATTTATTGTTGACTTTCTGTAAATTGTGGAATGCTTCACCTATGAAATTCTGACCTATTTCTTGAGGTCCTCTGGATGCAGTCTGTCAATAGAATTTTTGCTAGAGCTCTTTCTTAGAAAAGGGAGAAAAAAGGTGGTGGGAGGGGACATAAATTGAGTTTATTTAAAAATAATCGGCTGATTCAGCACACTTAAAACCATGTGTCAGCAGCTGTTCCTTCTATGTTCTCACACGTGCAATCACACAATCAAGGGAGATTCCGAGACTGGAGATATTTTCGAAAGGTGAAATGATGAGTTAGGGAAGAATACTGCTGCGAAGGAGTGAAATTGAACTAAGTGAATTTTTAACATTCCTTCGTTCCTGGATTGAATTATGTCCTCCAAAAAATTGTGTCTATCAATTTTGCTGGGCCATGATTCCCAGTATTGTGTGGTTGTCCTCCATTTTGTGATTGTAATTTTATGTTAAAGAGGATTAGGGTGGAATTGTAACACCCTTACTAAGTTCACATCCCTGATCTAAAGTAAAATGAGTTTCCCTGGGGTGTGGCCAGCATCACTTTTTATCTTACAAGAGATAAAAGGTAAGGGAAGCAAGCAGAGAATTGGGGACTTCATACCACCAAGAAAGCAGTACTGGGAGCAGAGCGTGTCCTTTGGACTTGGGGTCCCTGCATGGAGAAGATCCTAGTCCGGGGGAACATTGATAAGGCTGACAGAAAGCCTTCCCCTGGAGCTGACACCCTGAATTTGGACTTTTAGCCCACTTTACTGTGAGGAAATAAACTTCTCTTTGTTAAAACCATCCACTTACGGTAGTTCTGTTATAGCAGCACTAGATAACTAAGACACCTTCCAAATCCGAGACACTTGACCTAGATAATTTAAATTCTTAAATCCTGTTTGGTATTATTTATTTGAATATTCAGTTGACAACATTTTGTGTATATACATCTTCTAGATAATTAATTTTTACCTCACTTTATCAAATATCTTCTAATTTAAGATTGAGATTCCATCTGAATTTCCTTCTGTACACATAAATTCTGATGCAGATATGAATTGTTTTCCCCCCCATAATCTTTGTCAGAAAAATATTGCTGAAAGAAACCTCTTGTGGAAGTAGCTTTAATTTGTTACAAACAGTTTCTATGGTGTTCCATAGAACCATGATATGACATCAAAATCTATTCTGAAAGATATTTTTAGTCTCTTCTTGCACTCGGCAACAATTTAATTTTGTTTGAGAATTGTGCCACTGTGAATAAACTACAATATCCTCAACAAAACAAAACAAAAATTTCAGTTTAAGCAATGACTCTCATGCAAGGTCTTCTCTACTCTGCTTGACTGATTTGTAGGGCCTTCTTGTATTCCCAAATCACACTGTGGACACACATCTATCACAGCATTTCTGTAACATGTATATTGTATTATAAACCCATTGAAGACATGTCTTCTTCGAGAAAGGGTTCATGGCTACTTCCAAGGATATTAAAAAACACAACGAGATGGAATAAATTAAAAGTGGGGAGAATGAATAAATAAAAACATGGGTAGAAACGAAAGGGAGCCAGGAGTGAGGCTAGAAATGCTACTGCTGGGTCATGAATTTGTCTCTTAAGCTGACAGTCTCATTGGTCCCACAATTCATGGTGCCCATACATAAAAAACAAACCCGTTACTCTGGAGAAGTAAAACTATTCCTGGAACTGAGATCAGATTGGAATGTCTCCCAGCGATGCCTATGAAGAGAACATTGTGTGATGTGAGGAGCAGTGTGCTTGACAGCATCTTCCACAGGGTGACCAGTTCACAGGAATGCCTCTTACAGCCTGATGGAATTCAACCAGTTAAAGCAATGCTTCAGAGGGGGCAGGCTGTCTCGGTGATCATGGCTTAACAGCAACATTTTATCTCCAGAGTCTAGCACAGTCATTGACATACAGCAGGTACTCAAGAACTGTTTGTTGAGTGAATGTCGTATGAAGAAGTCCCAGTTGAAAGACTCCCATTGGAAAGGCTTCCCTGATCACCGGGACCTGAAGTCCTGCTCTCCAATCTGCACTCCTTTTGTAGCTATCAAACAATACAGTTATGAAATATTTCTTCTATGTTTGGGTTAAACTGCCATTTCAATATTTTTATGTTCAATTTCTCATGTCTTCTCCAAATGTGGTAGTGAGGCCAGGGGTATTTGCGTGCGTGTATGTGTGTGTGTGTGTGTACACATTTGCTGGTAGTGTGAGTGGTGTTATTGGGTCAAGAAAGTACCACCCTCATGAAACTGGGAGGCAAGTCTGCAGGTGACCTTGAAAGTGCTCTTGGCTTAGGTTCAGACTCCCACATTCAGGCTGCCCCTCAGAGCAGAGGCAGGGCTGGTGAGTGTGTCAGGGTGGGCCTTTGCCATTGGTTTCTGTGCGGAGCATCAGAAAGCTCAGCCACAGGTCACAGTGGCACCAACAACAAGAGGGACTCAGTGCTGAGTTGAGTAAAGTGAAGACTCAGGGATTTTTAGTCCTGTTGGAAGCCTGGGGTGGTTGAGCCCACAGGTTGAGGTTTAGTCATTTTAGCAGCCAGACTTAGAGATCTGGAGGGTAGGACCTGGTGTAAGGGTCTTTCTTCCTGGTGGGTGTCACCGCCTCTCATTTCTAACTCGCATTCTTCTTCTGGCATTTTGGAGCAGGAGCTTGCTCCCTATGTGCAACTTCCTACATGCGTAGTCTCAGCTGTGACAGAAGCACCCTCCTTGCTAGTCATCTTCTGTTGTGTAACCTTACTTTGTTGTTGCTCCAAACAGCAATGTCACTGCCAGACCTAGGACAGAGTCAGTGTAGTAGTTGAGAATGTGCATTCAGGAGTCTGACTCCTTTAGTTTGAATGCCGGCTCTGCTAAAAGCAACTTACTTAATCTTTCTGTGCCTCAGTTTCCTCATCTGCAAAAGGAGATAATAATAGTACCTAATTCATAGGGTTATTGTGAGGACTAAATGAGTAAATACATGTAAAGCACTTAGAAGAGTGTCGGGCATATAGTAAACGGTATATAAATGTTTGTTAATGACAATAATGGTCATAAGAATTACTATCCTGCTCAAACAGAGGTACTAGTATAGCTAGATGGTGGGCATTCATTTATAAAATATTGATTGAGGGCCTCCTGTGTGCCAGGGTCTCTTCTAGGTCAGTGAATCAATGTTGACCATGACAGACATAATCCCTTCCCTCACGGAGTTTACGTATGAGTCGGGGCACAGACATTAAACTAATATTTTCACAAATATATAAGGTGGTGTTTGTATTAGGGCAAGCTGAGTCTTGTTCCAAAGTTCAAACATTTCAGTCTTAAGAATTCCGACACATAAAAGGAGCAATGACCCTTTTTTTTTTTTTTAAGTAAAGAAAATGTTTAGGTTATCTAAGGCTGTGTAACAACTGCTCCCACAATTGGTGGGTTAAAGTAACAGTAATAATTTATTTGCTCAAAATCCTGCAATTCGGACAGGGCTTACTAGGGACAGCTCATCTCTGTTCCATGTGGTGTCTGCTGGGATGGCTTGACTGGGGCTGAAGGGTCCACTTCCAAGGTGGCTCACTCACATGGCTGGCAAATTAACGTTGGCTGTTGGCTGGGAGCTCAGCTGGGCTGCTGGTGGGGACCTCAGTTCTTCCTCATGTAGCCTCTTCATGTGGCTAAGCTGGGCTTCTTAGAGCATGGCAGCTGGGGTCTGAGAGGGAGCAGCCCAAGAAGTCAGGCCACAATGTGTAAGCACTTATCAAGCCTCTGCCTGCATCATGCTTGCCAATGTGCCATTGGCCAAAGCCAACCAGTCATAAATGTATCGGTCTTGGAACTACACTTGAGGGGCACTGCCTTAGATAGCACTGCAGATCCCTCTATTCATTTCTATTTGTTTGTGATAAATTTTCTATGGTTCTGTAGTGGAGTCTGGGAAATTCTTAAGTGCCTGCCATGCCCTTAGCTATGCATTGTGCCATGTGATCCTGCTTCCTGACCACAACGTACTATAGACAATGTGCTAGACCTAACAGGCTGCGTGTGGAAACTGCCCAGTTTTTCATATTATAGGGTGAATAATCCAATTAGAATGATCCAATTCAAACTTTGAATGCAGGACACACAAAGGCAAGGCAGGTAGAAGCAGAAACAAAGAGAAGCTTTATTTTGAGCGAACAACAAAACTGGCCAGGTTACCAGAGCTGCCGCTTATTACTTTGAGCAGTGAACCACATTCCACTGCCATGAAGCCTAGCTCTGCGGCTGCAGAGATGCTTCTTGTGCTCTCCTACTTCCTGGTGTGACCCTAATTTAAGCCTGCATCTCCTTTTCTAACAAGAGCAAGTCTCTCTTCCATGTTTCCTGGAAGATCTTCCCACTCTCTGTCTTGATGGCTCTGATATTTGCATTATACCGCTGAGTCTCTGATTTTATATGGAAGAAAACAATAATCCATCTTGATCAAGAAATGTGGCTTTTTAACGCTCAGTTTCTACTGCGTTTGAGAAAAACAATAAACTATTCTTTCACCCATGATGTAGCAATTCTTCCATCTGCGAAAATGCCTTGGGATTATCGCAATACATGACTCTTAGGGAAAGTCCTAGAATTACTGTAAAAATCAGTAAACATCTCATTCCAGCATCCTGCTTCTCTCTTCTAATTGCCCCTTAGTTTTTGGCGAAGACAGCACTAAAAAAAAATCTTAGCAGGTTTTCCCTGCCTCTCGCCCTTCCTGTCCTCTCTTCCCAACAAAGGGAGAAAGCCGACTGTGGCTTAGAAAAGGGGGAAGCAATGCTACAGCAGGCACTAGCAGCGGAAAAGATGGCCTCACGGAAGGAGTGCAGAGAGGCTGCACGGCCGCCTAGAAACACAGAGGGGACAGCTCCATGAAGTCTCTCCCAATTCAGAGATTGAGAGGCGGTAACAAGGGAGCGGCCCTCGGGCAGAGAGATGCTGAGAAAGCTCGTCCTCACCTGGGTAACTGCCAGTGGCCACATTTGGCCCAATGCCCACAGAAGGGCCGCTTACAGTGGACATTTCCAACTCCGGCATTGGGCAATACCCTCTTACTCAATCATTGGAGAGGCGATAGTAACGTCATTGACTACTTCCCAGCCAGTCTCGCGACGTCATCCCGCAGCGCCGGAAGCGGTGAGGCACGGATGGAATAAAGTAAGGGTGTAAGTCTCCGTTGTCTCAAGGTAAGGCGGTAGCCGGCCTACCTCCTCTGCTAGCTCGGTTAAAAGCCGCGAGTTTGGGGCCTTAAGCCGGGCAGCTGCTGCCCTTGAGTAATATTCCTTCATCAACGCGCTCAAGGCTTCTTTCCCGGTAGGCGTTGCCCCATGCTCGGGCTTTAGGTCTATCGGCTCCCCACTTCCCTCCTGCGCCGGTGGGCCGTGTTTCAGGGGGCGCTCTCGTTGGTCTCTGCTCCACTTCTGGTTTGTTCACGTGTGCCTCCGACACCTGCACCTAGCTTGATCTCAACACAAGCAAAAAAAACGTTAATTAAGAGAGTGGGCCCTGGCCTACCGAAGGATGCGGCTCAGCTTGTCGGGAAGCACAGAGTTTTCTTCCAGAAACGCTCGCTGAAACGAACTTACCTTGAGGGCTCTTCATAGGAGATGCTGCACATTGTAGATGACAGCGTTCTCAGCGGGCCTTATAGGAAGGCCGGAAGAAGCAAGCCTTTCCCCATACATATCAGTGAGAGGTTCAATATGGCAGGAATATAATTTCCATTTGGAATTAATGTGGTCCAGGCTTGAAGTCTTCTAGGAATTTACCTTATTTTGGGAATCGTGTGTAATACTTAGAAACAGGATTTTTTCATATGCGTAGACAGTACAGATTTGTGCCCTTCCACCTTAGTTGCGCTCTCAGTGTTGTCTGATTTTTTTTACATGAGCTGTTTAGCTCTTGCTTTCATCCTACCTTCACTATCAATAAGGTGCCCTGGTGGTGCAGTGGTTAAGAGCTCAGCTACTAACCAAAAGATAAGGAGTTCGAATCCACCAGCCACTCCTTGGAAACCCTGTGGGGCAGTTCTACTCTGCCCTATAGGATTGCTATGAGTCGGAATTGACCTCAGTGCCAACGGGTTTGGTGTTTTGGTTTTAACTTAGTCTCAGAGGATGAACTTTCTTCTTTGATCAAATGCTTATTGTATGCCAAATATTGTATTAAGTGCTGGGGATATATGATAAGCAAAAATGGGCATGATCTCTGCTCTTACAGAGCTTACAGTTTATGGAGTTTTACTGGAGGGTCTCTATTGAAGAGTCAGGAGCACTCATCTTTCTGCACTCCCCATATTTTAAAAAGCTTCATTCCTGGAAGTTGGAGCTGGAGGCTGAAATGGGCCAAGAAGTTTAACCCTTTCGTGACCCAATTATTTTTCGTTTTAATTTTTCGTTGATAACCGTGTGTTTTCGGTAACGGAGGGCATGCTGAATCATTGAGTGTATCTGAATTTTTGGTAGATGGTACGGTTTTTGTTTTATGCCTCATTCCACAAAGTATACCCTCAAGAGTCCAGAGGTACCTATGTGTACCCCTTGTGAACACAAATTCTACCCTGAGTCCAGAGGTACATATGTGTACCAAATGAAAAATTCATGTTTTTCCTACCAAAAATTCAATGATTCAGTACCACCTCATACAGTACCCTGTAAAAACAGTAATTTGCAGCACATGCCTGTTTTTTTTTTAATTTCAAACTGTTAATATAGGGCCCTGCTTGCCAGCAGCATATACTGTCAGTGGAAGAGTAGCTTCCCAATGAACCCCAGAAGTAAAAAAGTAAGTGGTATCTGTATATACCACCGGTCCTAAAAGGGTTAAGGTTGGTCACATAAGCACTGTGCATTTACTGCTTCAACTTCTCAGGCGATAGCAAATAGGGACGTCATGACTTCAGAACTTTGCAGAGAGTAGAGTATGTGAATGTGTGTTTGTAGAGTGCAGGAGAGGTAATTCCTATTATCGTGCGACAGCCAGCCATGCTCTCAGCCACCCTCCCCCTGCTCCTAAACTGCATTCTCTCCTGGCTTCTTTGATTGTCAGCATGAGTAGTCACCACATAATAAACACATACTTCACTTCCCAATCTGTTTCTGCTCACTCATCACTTGCCAGCAAGTGCAAACAGATGCCATCTGAATACATAGCATTTAAAAGTGGGACCTGCCTGTAGAACCATTATCATTGAGACTTCAAGCTTATGGTTTTAGATTTACAGCTGACTCCTCATGCTCTTTGCATTAAGTCCTCCACAAGGACCTGCTGAAACTGCCTTTTGGACTTCTCCCTGGGTCCACATTACATTAACAGCCTCCCTGACTAATCTCTCTGACTCCAGATTTCTCCACTTTAGCCTGTGTACACACAGCTGTTTGCAAAGTATTCTTTGAATTCTGTTATTTCACTTTACTGTATAGCTCAAAAATTGACATTAGTCTCCTGTTGATTATATTAAGTCTAAACTTTTTCAGCCTAGTGTTTTTTCAGCACCTCTGCCATTTTTTTTTATTACTCTGGTATAGCTCCTCTGGTTCAGTCAGCTAATATCTGCTTTTCACCCACAACCTGTGGCCTGCCCTGGCATAATCTGCACTGTCATTTGTGCCTTTTAAAGCTGAATGCTCCCTCCCACTCCTTTTCTTCCGTATTAGTCCCTTTGGCTCCTGGCCCTCTCTAACTGGGCAGTTTCCAGAATCCTTTCCTGACTACTCCAATTCCTGTGAATTTGTACCTCCTCAACAGTGATATGCTCACTCTGCTTCACATTATCTTGTCTTTGCATAAGGTAATGAAATTCTGATTTTTAAAAATCTGGTTTCTTTTCCTTCTGCTTATGAACACAAAGCTTGTACAGAGGGCATGATAAGTGCTTCATTGGCCACAGGCTTCATTTTCTAGAGAGGTGATGTTAGAGCTTAAGCTTTGATAAGAGTCTTGGGAGGCATTTCAAAGATCCAGCCCTGCCCCTGCCCATAATTTCCTGCTCCACCTCCCTGGGTGATCTCATCTTCTCTCTGCTTCAGCTCTAATAACATGTTGATGCCTCTCAAATATATACGTTCCTCTCTCCTGAGCTTCATAGGTATCTATCCCAGGTTGACCCTGGGATCTTGTACAGGCAATTTAAACTACTGTAATTCTGTTTCAATCTGAAATTGTTTCTCTATCCCCTACCTCTCTATCCCTGTGTCTTCCTCATTTTAGTTAATGGGTAGCATCCAAATTAGAAATCTTGGTATCTCCCTTTACTCCTTTGTCATTCCCAAATGCAGTCAATAATTAAGTCTATCTTTGTGATTTCTCTTGACTCTTCTTCCTTTCCATCCCCTTTTCTTCTGCATTTATTCATGACTCTCTCCTGAATTTCTTGCTTCTTTCTCTTCTACTGATAACCCTACGTGGCCATAAAGATTGTTTTCCAGTAAAAACCACACTTGGTCTTGTCATTTCCCTGTTTTCAGATCTCTGCTATCTCGCTGTTGCCCTCAGCATCAGGTCTGAGCTTCTCAACACAGTTATGAGATCTTTTTTTATTTTTTGTTTATGTAGTTTAAATGGAGTTTACATTTCAAGTTAGTTTCCCGTACAAAAATTTATACATACATTGTTATGTGACCCTAATTGCTCTCCCTATACTGTGACAGCACACTC